TCACAGGACTATAAACCTTCTCAGTTCTCTGGAGGATCAGCTGATGATGCAAAGCCTCCTCTCTATGGAAATGATTTCTCTGCTCTCAGCACACTGAAGGCAACGTGAAACAACTGAAGAAAATATTTACATTGGGAGTGCAACTGAGGTGTCCATGGCTGCAAATGATGAGTTTTATTTCGAGTGTGATTAGCATGAAATCTAAAGCACAGTAAACTGTGATTTGTTTTTTTAACTTTACTTTAAATTTGCTTTGTTAGTAGTCATTATTGAGAAGCATTTTGTTAGATGCTCTGTTACAAAGACAGTAATTGTTTCTATTTCCAGTTTGTAGATAGTCAAGATATTATCTTTATTTGTAGGAAAATTATTTTGTTCTTTTTAAACCATTTTAGATTAAAACTAGCATATATTTAGCTGTTTAGATTAAGTATTGGGGTAGCAGACATTTTCTAAGTGCTTAGATGCTTGTTCTGAGTGCAGGAGGTTTTTGTGCGGCCACTTAGTGAGTTTGTATCACTGTGGTACACTTTTGGCGGAGGAACCAAACTCATCGTTGACTGTAAGTACCAAAAACCTTTACTTTGCACAACATGCAGTATTAATAATACTACATATACTAATAATAATACTAATTAATCAACTTTAGGTTTTTGTATGTTGCTAATAATTAAGGTTAAATTGAAAAAATGCCGATATCACAAAATGAGAAAAAAACGTATTCTTTCCAAGCTGCAGTTAGCTAAATTCATTGAATCAGAAAAGAACAATTATCTATTTTCATCATACTTTATATTTTTTAAAAATATTTAGAAAAGTCAAAATAAACTAATAATTTAAAAATGTAACACTGCAGAAGAGCAGCTGTAATATTTTAGCTCATTATTTCAATATCTGCTTATTTTTAGATTTAAAATGTGATCCGTAGTTTTGACAAATTAAAAAGGTGATTTTTTTCGAGTAACTGCAGATCATGTTGGTGTTCATGGCTCATTAACTTTAAATGTAGTTTTAAAGGAAGTGAAAGAAACAGATGACAAAGATTTGACTGTTCACATGAGTGTTTCAGCTTGGTTCATTTATATGTAGGAACATTATCACAGAGATGAGTTATTCACTTTGAAGTATTATTCAATAGATATAGGAATAGATCACCGCCTTTCAAAGTTTTATCACCTTTCTGACTCTCTCCTCTCCATGTGCTCTCTCCTCCAGTGGGTGTGTTGAGGCCCACCCTGACTGTCCTTCCTCCTTCTAAAGAGGAGGAGAAGAAAAGCAGTGCCACTCTGGTGTGTCTGGCCACTGGAGGATTCCCCTCAGGTTGGAAGCTGGGCTGGAAGGTGGGGGGCTGTAGCCCATCTTCAGGGCTGTCAAACAGCCTCGAGGTCTTGGGGACAGATGGTCGCTACAGCTGGAGCAGCACCCTGAGCCTCTCTGCAGACCAGTGGAGGAAGGCGGGCTCAGTTAGCTGTGAGGCCAGTCTAAGTGGACAGAGCCCCATCACTCAAACCCTGGACCCTGACCAGTGCTCAGAGTAGAGCTTCAGCAACACTTCCTGTCTACAAATGATGTTTTCGAATCTACAGATCTCTGTTCCAGTGTGTCTGTAAAACTATTCGAGAAATGTTCATATTCATGTTCTGCTTCTTGCTCACTATAATAAGGAATGTAACTTACAGCATGAAATAAAAGTACAATAAAACACTGTGTTTGTATTTACTTAGTTTTGCAATACATCTTTTATGTTCAATGATTAAACATTATGCTGCATTGTGAATCTCATAGTTTTGTGCAACAGAGTTAAAGATAAAGCTTAACCTCCTAGGACCTGGCGTTCACATATGTGGACATCACATTTTGGGTTATTTAGACCAAAATACTCAATTTTGCTCTACAAGGGCCTGATATCCACTAACCAGGACATTATACTGCTACTGTTCTATTGAAATTTCAAATGAATATCCTCATGTGTGGCTGTCATTTTTCTCAGAAACCAAAATTAGGTAAAAAAAAAAAAAAATTGGTAATTCTTTGTTTTTATATTTATCAGGTCCCAATCAACCCAAATATCAAAGAGAAATTAAAAATGCATGCCGTGGAAGAGTTCAGGTCTTAGGAGGTTAACATGTTCATTATATTATAATTACAATAGCGGTAGGGGAAAATTATGGGGATTTAATATTTTTTTCTGTCAATGCATCCATCGCAGCAGCCATGTTTTAGAAAAGATAAAATTAAATGATATACATTTTTATGTTAAAACTTCTTATTATAAACTTTTATTTTGTGTATGTGTTTGATGACTCTATTGTTGTGTTCAGTGGACCGGTTGTTCTCATCACAGTCTCTTCACTGCACTCTGCACCTGCAGCCTTCACTCAGACTGAAGGAGGTTTTTGTGCAGCTCTAAATCACTGTGCGCATACTCCACCAGTATGCACACCCATACAGTAATAATCTCCAGCATCTTCAGCCTGAAACCCACTGATGGTTAAAGTGTACTGAGAACCAGATCTACTGCCACTGAATCGAGACGGAGTTCCTGAGGAGCGAGTTGATGCTTGATATATAAGAAGTTTGGGGTGCTGTCCCGGTTTCTGAAGATACCAACTGAGATCAGCACCAATATCTGAACTTCCTGTGGCGCTGATGGTCACGGTCCCACCAAGACTGACAAGTTTGGATTTATCAGCCTGAGTAAGAAATTTATTGGCCAAGGAATCTGAAATGATAAACAAAATTAAATCTGATTTTAAAAAATCTAGGTAATCACCAGTGAAGATTACGATAAAACTAAAACATTTAAATGAAAAAGTTAATACATGTTCAGAAATTCTCACCTTGCATTAGAAAACCCAACACGAGAGTCAGAGTTGCTATCAACATCATCTTGATGCAGTTCTCAGTGTGAGTACATGAAAACAGTTCAGACTCTCATTGAAAGGAGAACTTAAACTCCAAAGATCAGTGATGTATAAAATCATGCAAAATGCATTTGGGTACATCTGTCCCTGTGAAACTGAGAGAGGGGGGAGTAAGATAACTCTACATATCCCTGTGGACTGAATATGCAGAAATGTGACTTTCCACTTCCATGCCTGTGGCTTTCATATCTTTGCAAAATTACCCAAGGAAGCCTTTGGTCTTTTCAACCATAGATAGTCGCAGACTGCCCTCTGCTGACAATCCAAATTCACAACAACTCTTGGTAAATGTCCATGATCATGTGTATCAGTTACAGTTTTTTCTGATGGGTTAAGCACATTTTTTGTAACTATTGGCTATTTTTGCAAAACTCTACACACAAATAAGCAAAACATCACACCAATCAGCAAAACATTGTAGTTTTCTTGCAAAAGCGAATAACCCTTGCTTAACTCTCCACACCTTTGTAAAAACTGTATTTTTGTATCCAACAGTTAACACAAGCCATCACATTAATAAGCACACATTGCACCAACTACACACTGATGGTATGAATAAACAACACATCTGGCTTTTGCTTTCTCTGTGCACAAGATAGGCTATGTCAGTTTGAGGTCATACTTTTGTCATAGATCCGTAAGCATAGAGGGATCCGAAATTCAAGTACTGGTGTTTATTCACACACATCAAAACAAACACAACACAAGTATTTATTTCGAAGTATAGAATTATTTGCAATCGCCATATTGACTATATGGGTTTCTTGGTCTGCAGTGAACATGCTTCCTCTGCCCCCAACATCTCGTCGTCTAGCAATTCTGTAAAGTAACAATTTCAGTATTTTTTACATCTATGGTATTGTTGTGTTTCTCATTGGCATACGGCAGTGCTACAAATCTTAGTGCAAAGTGACTGTACCAACCGATTCTCATTTCAAAATGTCCTTATGATGCTTGCTACAGTGTAGCGGCTCGAGTTAGGCTGAACCCGTTGGCCTCCTCTAATTCTCACTCTTCCTGCTCCCTCTATTGTACTCCACACGGACAGCTTACCTGTAACTATAGTGCTTAGGCTGATTGCAAAGTGAACTAATTATCTAAAACAGTTTTCACATGTGACAGTGTGCCAGACAGTTGGCAAAATTCTGTAAATAATGGCCATAAATGTGTATAGTTTTGCTAGGAGTGTGTTGATCATTTAGAAATTGAGTGTAAAGCAGTGAGTTGTGTTTACAGTTCCTCAAAAAAAGTGCTGTGCGGTGGATTATAGCTACAGTTTTGCAAAGTGTGTGTTACAAAATGGCAAACTAAGTGCAAAGCAGTGTTTGTGCTTTTAGTTTTGCAAACTCAGTGAGTGGTTTTGCTATAAGTATTAATAGTTTTAGAAATTGTGCTATAAGAATCACAGTTACGGTTTAAGCATTCAGGAAAAACTGTAATCTTGGTGCTTCATCCGTGACATTAGAAACACTGCAGAGACCAAGATTGTATCACAACAACAGTGTTCCAAGCTTTAAATGTTCATGTATGAGATTTCAGTGGCTCCTAGATTACCATTAGTCATTAATATCATGTCAAAATCCCAGTATTACATCTCATTCTATAAACCAAATTTAATGAGTCAAGAAACTGGTTTGGTAAAACCTTTCTGCAAAACTCTGAACATCTTCTCTTGCAGCCAAACAAATTTTTTGTAGTTTTC